GAGAGAGAGAGAGAGACGAGACCCGCCCCTTCTCGTCACACGTTATCCCACATGTGCCCTATATGGAGACTGTTGTCAGCACAGCCCAAATCTCCCAGGACCGAGCCAGTCAGCTGTGTATGTCAGGGCTGTGTATATGTCAGGACACACTGAGCCCGGGCCAACACCGTCATAAAAGGCCAGGCAATTTTCTCAGGGGCCCAGGAGGTTGCCCTCTGATTGAATAGAGAGCTTTAGCAGCGGCCCGGCACCTCGATCATAAGTGGTTATAAATAAAGTGGGCGTAAAATGTCCTCCTTCAGGAATTGAATAAGTTTGTACAAGTCTCGGGTCACACGCATGGGTGCGAATACTGTTTAGTTCCAGTTAGAGTTAGAGTTTTATCTGCAACACAATAAGATCATTAAGTGCTGTAGATTAGAGGTGTGACAAGAGAATACCGCACATACAAAAGAAAGAGGAAGATAAGGGTGGTAGATGTTTGATAGATAAGAAGGGCAAACCAAATTAGAGCACCCGTCAACCTCCCACAGAGCGAATACATGGCATCTTGTACTGAAGTTTGTGCAGAGAGAAGCACATCGAAACCATAACAACCCTTTAAAGCATAGTAAAAAGAAAAACAGAAAAAATAGACACAACAAAGAGAAAGAAAAAGAACCACCCTTCTGCTTGGAAATCTTTACTTACCAACGAGAGCTAAAAAATAATGTACAATGGGATCGCTGGTGAGGACCGGGGAGGGGGGGAAGAAAGAGAGAGAGAGAGAGAGAGAGAGAGAGAGAGAGAGAACACTAACCGTTCATGGTGTGCTGGTGGCGGTTGCCATCCGGAGAGTACGGCTCTGAGTCTGGGGGACTGTCTGGGAGGGATCTGTAGGATGAACAGAAAGTAGAACAACACATGAATGAATCAAACTATCAAAACCGTTGATCTCGAGACGTGATATGAGCAAACAAAATAAATCAAATCAAATCAATGAACTCGATTCACATGAAAAAAAATAAATTCAAATCGATAAACTCTAAACATAAGAACGGATCAAATTAAAACCGTTTACCGTTGATCTCGGGACATGGCAGGAACAAATCAAATCAATGAAATCGAATCACATGAACGCCTTAAATGAAATCAATGAATTCGAAACTCACGAACGATTAACTATAATACAAAACCATTTAACTAAAACAGCCTACTGGACAGGGTATGGGTATTAACTATTTTTGCAAGATGTTATTGTCATCATTTTACACCCAATTCGATACAATTTAGATTACTTAGGAGGTGGGCCAACATGGACTGAGACGGATATATTATAGTATTCTACTCTAGCCAACAGACAGGGATGCTCGGTTTAAAGAAAACGTCCTTTATAAAGGGAATCGAACTCATATCTTCTGCGAGTAAAAGCGAATAGCCTAATTGTTACACCAAAGATACCGTTGAAAAACTTGGAAAAGGTAGGCGTCTTCACAATCTTTTGTTTGAGTTAAGAGAAGCACATCGACACAATAATGGCCGTTTAGTCCTGTGAAAAAGTACTGCAGGCAGACAGAAACAACAGAGGGAAAATAAAGAAGTAGAACCTACAAGTACGTAGCACCTTCCAACCATCTGCACTGCACACTTTGAATTTAATCAAGTTGTAGGTTGTTAACATTTTAATGCGACATACGTTATAAAATATCTCCCGCTTCACAAGAGGGCAAGAAAAAACGAGCGAAAAAAACGAGTTCACGGTCTATATGTACTCTTTCTATGGATTTTTTTTCGTGTCTGTTTTTAAGTAAGCGTTCTACGGCACTTGCAACACAAACAAGCCATTACAAGTGCAGACAATTTGAGGAGTTGCAAGAGAGGAATATACAAATAAAAGAAGGAGGAGAGAGACGGACGAAAGATATCAAATTTGAAAAGAAGAATCAAATAACATCGGAGCACCTACTAACCACCCACGTACTCTTCAGGACACCATAAAAGTTCTCATTACTTGGCCATGGGTAAAATATTTTTTTTTAAAGTGTATTCAAAATCAGCAACACGACCAACAACAACATTAACAATCAACGAAACTTCAACAACTTTAGTTTTATAGTTTTAGTAGAGGTTTTACGGCGCTCGCAACTGCATGTTAAGGTTATTATTATGAGCGCCAGAAGATTACAGGTGTTACAGGAGAGTAACAAACATAAACAAGAAGAAGGGGAGGAGAAAAGGACGATAGATGTTTCACAGGAAAGAAGAAGCAAACCACACAAGAGCACCCGCCAACCACCCACATACAACAACAGCCCGATTGTTTACTTCGTTTGTGAGAGTAAAGAGAAGCACATCGACACAATAATGATTACTTTGTGGTGGGGAAAAAGTAAGACAGACACGGAGAAACCACAAAATTGTGGAAACTAAAAAGTAGGAACTACCAGTGGCACCCTCCAACTAACCGCAAACTGCTCAATTGACACCCTATATTATGGAGATCATAATATTCACATCACATACACGCATGCATGTATGTGTACAGTTAAGCGTCACCTCCCTCCCTCCCTCCCTTC